TCTTTACGTACTTTGTCAACCAGTCTACAACGTTTGACCTCGTTCATATGAAACTTGAGGTCCTACATTACGAACGTCTCAAAATTAGTTGTGCTTTTCTCTGTGCAAGCAGATTTTTTTTCATATTTCAAAATTACCAATTCCAGATGGTGGAGCTCATGCGTATGGCTATTGGTGCACTTCTAAATATTGAAATATGGATAATGCTCATTTTAAACGTATTTGTACTGAGCTGCATCAAAAAAGGTGAGGTTTGTACAAAACATCAAACTTTCTTTTTAATAACATTGCAAGTAAAGGAGATTTTTTGTGAAGTTCGGTCTCATGAAAAAATAAGACCAAAAACAAAATATTTGAAATTGCTTTACAGTCGATCCAGGAAAACGTTATTCGCATAGAACTAATAGAGTATTTGTTCCAAGTTGAGCAGAGTTTTAAAATATTATGTCATTATTCAGTTGTTTTGCTAGCAGTACACAGATTTGTGAGAAGAAAAAAAAAACGTTATAATTTACAGCATTGCAGGCAAACTGTACTCAGGAAAAGAAAAATGTGTTTACTTACTTTCTACTTCTAACATATGCTGTGATATTGCACAATTGGCGCTGCATGCCTTTTACATTGGACCATCAATTATTGCTGGGGTAAGTCAATAAATTTTCTTTGAATCGGATAAATTGAAAATATCTGGTGTCTTAAAGGAAGAAGATTTCTATTAGGGAATTGTAATTGTGACCTTTTTGAACAACAGCGATTGGCTTCGGTTTGCAAGGAATGATCAGTTGCTTTAGAAGTTTGTCAGTAGTAAATTCTTTTTATCTTCTTACTTTTCGCAGATCCCAGCACATGAAGCATGCGGGAATACCTAAGTGAAAATACTGTGCAACATCATATGTCCAATAAATACAAATAACTAAATGATTATACTTTACGTTCTTGTTTTAGAAATGGTTCTTTGACGGGGAAAAGTCGTTGGGAATTACTATTGCCGGGGTACTCTTTATCGAATTTTGGATCTTCGCGTCACTGATTCAAATGTTATTTTCCACGAACAGGTAAGGGTGCTCTTTTATGCAATCCAGAAAGAAAAATATCTATGCAAAGATTATCTTTCAAGTGCACGACTTTTCCACATATCGCTTTTTTGAAGAGAGTGGAGAAAAAAAAAACAACTTATTGATGCGTAAAACCATATCGAAGCCCAAGTTATAATCAAAAACAATATCTTCACCGTAAAACGATCTTATTATTGACGAAAGAAGAAGGTGCATCAATCTTTATTCTACTCACACTGTTGAAAGGCGTAAATTGTGAACCCATTGTCGCGCGACACAAATACGCAATTTATTGTGCTTTTATCGGAAAACGACTCAATAACGTAACGCATTAATTTCGCTAGTATTGCGAGAGAACAAGGAAGGAGTTTTCCCATGTAAGACCTTCAAAAAATTGCACAGGAAAATTGCTTGAATTGGCTCATAATGATGCATATTAAAAGTTTTGGGAAGTCTATCTCGAAATCCAAAACGTTTTTGTGGACGATATTCGGTGAAAATGCAAGAGAGCTTTTGACGAGATAATTGCATAGGATATCTACGAGTTAGGACACAACCGCGAAGCGTGTAGGTACCAGTATGGGGTACCATCACCTAAGTAGTAAAGTCTGCGGTACTTATGCTATACTTATATGATCGGCTAA